TGCAATACACAGCATACAAGACAAAGAAAACCTCGACTGCCCTCTGCTGGTGAATACACCACATTGCAGTCACCAGTTTAGTAATCACCTGACCAACCCGGAAGTAATGATTCTGCTTATGAGAAGGCGACAAAACAGAAGAAGATTTTAAGTTTCTATAAACGTTTCACGACTTATTACTTCAACCTATAAATACAAAGATGGTCCGGTGCTTCCTAATAAACACCGTGTGTCCAGTAAGCGCTCTGTCCGCCGGGGAAAGCAGGGTGCTTTACTCCCGGGTCTTCGGTCCAGATGAAGCGCTTCTGTCCGACCAACAGCCGGAGGAGAGGAGACTCCTGCTGAAGGAGAAGATCTCTTTGGTAGCCAGGTTAGCATTGTCCTAAAGCACGAGCCGCTGCTAATTATCTAAAAATGAAATATTAGAAAACACAATTCTAACTGTAGAAAAGCAGACTCGCTTCTAAAATATAGTTTAACTTATCGAGAACGTTTTCAAATCCGTTAACTTTAGTTAGCATTAAGCATCTAACAAAATACAAGAGTAATAACGGTTCTTTTAATTTAATTGTTCATTAAACTCGTTTTTTAGTTTAATACTGTGTTTACTGTTTTTGTATGTTGTTTTAATTTATAGAAAGTTTTTATAAATTTGTGCAGCACTTTGTGACCCTGGTCTGTGAAAAGTGCTATTGAAATAAAGTTTACTTACTTACTAACTTAAATGCACCAAAAAACAACCAGCTGCATGGTCTGTATTTATAACATTTAGCTACTGGACTGGAGCAAAGTTTAAGTTTACACATGTCCCTGTATTTTTGTTACAGGTCGTGTGAAAGTGGTGAACAGCCAAACTAAAAACAAGCAGACCTCAGAGAAAACCACAAATCATTGTTGACCAATAAAACTTTTATATCTACTATAAATTACCTAATTTCACAAATTCACTCTTCTGTTGCTATTAACCCTATAAAGGGCACTCAGTAATGTTATTGGAATTCAGGATAAGATCTTATTACCTTTGTAACATAAAAAAATATGGATATTTTGATGGAAAAAATTAATGTCAATGTAACAAGAAATGCCAACTTGCCTGAATATATTAAGACAAATAAAAGTATTTCTTTAAGAAAATTAATGAAAAACACTCTGAGAGTAAAATAAACATTTTTTTTGTACAACATAACCTGGCTTAGAGGCATTAATGCTGATACTGGCACTTAGATTTTTTAGTTTATAACCCTCAGTATAATTGTTAACTAGCCTTATTAACTTTTTAACTTAACTTTTTAATTTTTCAATTAGCTTTTTACCTTTTCCTCGACTTTTTAACCTTTTCAACTTAATTAACAGTATCATTCAAGGACTCATCTAATTGGTCAAATGCCAAAATAAGATGTCCAGCTATGTAGCAGAATCTTTGCTGAATGGCTGGATATAGATCTTGTGCTTCTAGATCTCACTGAGGGATGGGGGGACTCCATTTGTAAGGGATATGCAAGTGATCAAAAATGGTAACTTGCCCTGTAAAGGATTAATGTGACAATATGCAAACTTCATGGTGTTATGTCCCTCAGAAGATGTTGAGAGAAACACATGAATAGATGAATAAATGATATAAAGATTTGTTCAATTCCCCTGTATCTCCTGATATTTACTATGTAATGTGAGGGGTTTTGACAGGCTGTTGGAGGCTTTTATTTTGAAGTATAAAGTGTAGTTAATGAGCTGGTGCCTCATTATGTTGCAAAGATTAATGAAGAGTTTTGCTTTGTTAATAAGGCTGTGCCACTTTTAAACGTTCGATTTTTATCATTTTTGGAAATGGTAGCTGAAGCCAAATTTATTAGATCAATGCCTTTCATCTTACTTTAAAAGTTAGCTTTGTTTTTTTTTAATCAGGAACTTCTACACTTCAGACCTAAATATTAAATCTGCAGCACTTTGATGAACTTTGATGAGATTTATAGAAATCAGATTAGGGATGTCATAATGTTGATGCATAAACAGGTAACGCCCTTGTTTTCAGTTGGATTTAAACTATCGCTTTAGAAAACCTGAAATGAATTTCCCCCTTTTTTATGAGTTCTTAAATGGAATAAAGAAAACCAGTGAATACCAGAATATATAGTCATCCTCAGAATGAAAGGTCAGACTCTAAAGATAGAGAAGAGAATCTATATTAGGGGGCTGCAAAATCTTCACATCTCTCTTAACGTGAGATACCAGTGAGAGGTGATAACTCAATGATGGCAACTAAATTAGTGGCCTGATTGAAGTCTCTCCTTTCCAATATTTTGTATTGTGAATTTTGTTCCATTATTGTTGCAAGCAAAGAGAACTCTGGAAAAATTATCTAGAAATAAGTAAACATTTCTTAAATGAAGTGTATTTACCCTTGATTTAAGTAGGTAAATGAGACAGTTTGCCAATGGAATGAGTATTTTTACTCTTAAAATAAGATAATTAGATATTATGTACTTGAAATAAGACACAGAAATTGTTTTTCTTATTTTAAATGTAAATTGTCTTGTTCCATTGGCAAAATGTCTCTTTTATATCCCCAATTCAAGAACAAATACATTTATTTTAAGTAAAGATGACTTTTCAAATTTAGATTTTTTCCAATGCAAGTTGTATAAATGGAAATAAAAGAAAAACTTTAAAAAACTTCGTAATCAATAAAAGATTTTATCATTTCAAATAATTGTCTTTCCAAACAACGTGCAGACTTTATGTTTACATTTTGTTTTAATTTGAGTTTTTTTTTATTGAGTTTTGCGAATTCCATTCTTTTCAAATTCTGTTTCACAGATCACATTCTCTTCCCCTCAAGCCCAATATTTGTTGCCGTGATTGGCAGTGGGCAGATTCGGATTTTTGTGATCGGTGCCCGGCTCCCAAAATCCTAAGCGGTGCCTGTCTAATATTAATAGAAATGTGTTTTCTAGCTAAGGAAGAAGTTAGCCCTCGCTAACCCTCTATAGCCAGTCTTAGACATGAACCCTTCTCATGTAACCATCTAGCAGTGACTGAGGAAGTTTGCATAACTTCTCTCTCTGAGCTGTGAGATTTAATGCCTGGTTATGCTGTTTCATGTCAGCTCATGGTTTCCAGCTCTGGGCTTTGCCATAGACCTTTCTAGCTGTTCTAGATTGGACTTACTGCTATGTGTCATTGCACATATATCCTGCTGTCCTCTGATCTCTGTCTATTTAGATTTAACGTCAGAAAAAAAGCATCAGGAGAAACATTTTATGAGATGCCTATTTGAGCTTTAATATGAATTAGAACATGTCAATTAACTGATGCTTGTTTTATCAAGGCAGGTCCGGAGCGCCGTCTCTCTGTCCAGGGAGGCTTCGGGTCGGCAGACGGTCGATGCGATGCCGGGTGACGAGGCTCTTGTTTTGCAAGACGCAGACAGTGGGGTGTTTCGTCTGAGAGCGGGCGACCCATTCTCTGAAGAAATGAGCGTCTTGTGGCTGGGGGTCCAAAGTTTGGGCTTCACATTGGTCTGTGAGCCTCATGAAAATCTGTTGCTGGCTGAGGGAACGTTGAGAACCCTGACCAGACACTGTCTGGAGGACCTGCACATGCTGGGGCAGAGCAGTGAGGTGAGCATCTGTCCTTTTGAACGTTTGGCTCCTCTTTCTCCAGGATAGTCTGTTGTAATGTTTTATCCCTCCACATTCTTTGATTTTACTGTACAACTCCTATGCTTTATGTTTTCTGCCGTTTGGAGATGTGTCCATACTGCTTAAAACTTTTAAAGGTTTGTCAAACTACAACCACAACATTTCAAGTGAGATCCAAACACATTGGTTAACAGACTCGCAAAGGGGAGACAAAAAAGACAGTTGCCATGCAAAATCCTCATATGCTTGTGTATGGGGTTAAGTGCCTACTTTGTAGATCCACCCTCTGCATCAACTAAAACTTGGTTTATACTGGACGCGTCTGCAAGGCACAATAATGCCATTTTGGGCTTCCACTCCCCTCTGCATGGACTCTGTGAAGACAGAATTTCCTCACAGAGCAGCTAGGAAAATCCACTCGGAAAAAAAACACGCCGAGCAGCTCCTGCTGGTGAGGATTTGCAAATGTAAACATTGAGAGACATTCCTTAATTTAGCCCTTAAATATCAAACTCCAGAAACAAAAATACTGTGGTTCTCGAATGCCATGAAGAGGCTTTGATAAAGTTGTAAACAGGTGTGTTTTTGTTGTGTAGTGCTGTTGTCAGCTTGCTGTTCGCACTAAATCGTTACATTTTGGGAGACACTGCAAGGTCATGTATTTGCTCAGAGCAGGAAAAGTACAACCCAGCATTTAGCTAATGTGAGGAAACAATTTCTCTATCTTCCTTCCATTAATGATTAAAAGATCCTAATACAGTTTCCAACTGTCCTCCCTTCCACTGCTTTAAACCAACTTTTTCACTGCTATCTGTTCCTGAAGGATGAAACATTCCTTTATTACTCTACCAGCTGTTATGTTCTGTCATTTTGTAAGTCAACAATCTACCTATGTTCTCCTCCTTTTAGACAAGTCTGGATTTTAATTTCAACTATGTTTAATTCTGCTGTTCAAACTGCATTAGAAGGATAGGAATAAAAACAGATAACACAAATGCTTTACAGGTTTAAGCCAGAGATCTGACTTAGCTTTGACTAGAAGATTTGTGTAGAGCTTGCTGGCTATGCTATAAAATGCTTTTTTTGATCATGTTATTTAATCAAATAACCTTCGGGCTGTCATTTTTTTGTTCTGTGAAAACAAACCCAGCTGCCTGCGTGTTTGGAAAAATCTTTGGTCTGGCAGTTGACTTTGCACATATGGAATACATTTACTTAACTAAACAAAATTAGCTAGAATGAAACAAGGCAAAGGAAAAAAATGATAATGATTGAGAGCTATAGTCAATAAAATGATGCAATAAAATCAAAGTGCACTATGGATTTATGTTTTAGAACCAAATTTATCTTGAAGCATTTGGAGTGAGGTCAAATTACTCTTCAAACTAATTTAGAGCTATTAGGATGTGTTTAAACCAATTCATAATGAAAATCTAAAGAGCTAATTGAAACAATTGATGAAATATTTTAATCATAGTCATAAATTAATAACATTTAGATTGAGATTGTTCCTGAGGGAATTATTAGGGAGTAGGGACTCTTTTAGCTTCTGAAGTTAGGTTTTGGGTTATTAAGTTGTTACAGTTGGCAAACCTGATGGGACTCGTTTTAAGTGACTCGTTTGTCATCTTCTAGCATTCAGTTATAATGAGCACATCAGAAAAAACATAAAAGTTTTCAGTATATTGTGTTTAAAACGTATTCAGATAATTTTTTTATTACCTTCAAGAACAACTGCTAAAAACAGGTTAGTATTGAGTTAGCTACCACATGACCTCTGTTGACTTTCTTTACTCAACAAACGACATGATTAAAAAAACCCATTAAAAACCCAAATGTTTTAGCTGGTAATGCTCTCTAACATTTTCCAGACACATAACCGCTTCTGATCTTAGTTTTGAAAAGCTGAAGCATCTCCAAAGTTTTTTAAAAAAAAAAGCTCAGCTGTCCAGGCCAGAAGTGGAAAATGTAGATTTAACAAGTCATCTCAATGCCATGTGTTAGTTCTGCCCAGCCACTTATAAGATAAGATAAGATAATCCTTTATTTGTCCCACAGTGGGGAAATTGCAGCGTTGCATCACAGTACAGTAGGAAAAAAGAAGAAGAAGAATACAAAGTATAAAAAAAAATATATATATATATATATATTAACCAGGTGAGTCCAATGTGCACAATTGAATTCACTATGCAGATTGGACTCACCTGGTTCAGTGGTCTCAATACCTCCAAGCTATTCCTGTAAATCATGGAGTGCTCTAGTATCTCCTTATGGAAGTAGCTTCATTCTACTTAACTTCAGATGGGGTTGAAGAGTATTTAGCCATATGGTCTCTGGCTCTGGGCCTGCTCGTTCAAACGTTTCCGCCCGATGTGGCCTCCTCTCACAGCAGAGGGGTTGGGGGGCATCACATGTCCTTGTGATGTGTCTCTCTTGGAGTATTTTAGAACAGTGGTGGTGCAACTTGGGGTCTTCACAGCAGAGCAAACTAGATCTTCCTTCATTGAGGTAAAAAATTTATACCATGGCTTATGGCATAACACTATAAAAGAAACTGTGTCAGTCTCAAGACAACACCATCTTACTGATGGTGGCAGCATTATGCTGTGGGAATGTGTGTTATCATCACAGCTTTGAAATAGGAATCTTCTCTGGGTAGGATCTAGTAGGATCATTACAAACAAATGTACTTGTGAAATTTTGAACATTGTGGTATAGATGCCTTCGGCCCATGTTTCAGTTAGAAAAGCAATCCAGAAACTGTTACTAACAGCATTTTTCCTCCAGGTCCTGCTGAAAAGCAGTCGTATTGACGTCCTGCTTAGCCGCCTGCTTCCTCATGGTCAGCTCCTCTTCCTCAACCACCGCTTTGCTCAGAGTCTGGAGAAAGAAGTCGCAGCCTACATGGCCAAATAAACCAGGCGGCACAGCCTCAGCTTCCTAGAAGTTTACCTTCACCTACAGTGGAACTCCCAGCTGGAGCTCAGTTACTGCTTGAACCAGAGTAGTGCTGTTGTTTACTTGTGGTGACATTTCTGCAGGAGAGAAGCAGATGGGCAGCCCCACTCGCTGCTGCTTCTGCTGTTGGAGATTGGAAGATGTGTAAACACAGAGTGGGAAATATCTCCCTCAGCCACATGCAGCTTTACCACTGGGTGTTTATTGTGTGGGAGGCTTCGCTTTAAATCATGTTTGTCAAATGAAAGAGTGGGAAAAGAGGGAAAACATGTGGCATATGAAAAAGTGCAGCTGAGGAGGCCAGTTAAGACACGCTTGTCAGAATCAAAATCAGCCAATTATCAAATTCACTAAACTTGAAATGTCACGATGTGGCCTTGATGAGGCTGGTTTCTGCTGTTTTTCTTCAGCTGTTGCTCCTAGCTGTGAGAAAAGTTGACCCGCTGGTTTGTTTGAGTTTTATTTAAATAATAAAGTTTCTGAGCATATTGGAAATAACATGCATAAGAAAATGGAACAAAAATCAAAGACGACGAGTATTCTTTCCAAATCCTGTCATGATGTGCTGCTCATCTTGTGTTTGTCTTCAATTTTTATGTTAACAGTAAAGTTCAGAAGCAAAATGTAGATCTTTAAATAGAATAAGAGGTTTGATGTTTAAGCTTTTTTTTCATGTATTCAAAATAAAATGGACTGCTTGTTTTCCCTGAGGTTTAATTCTTTGTGCATATCTGAGGTCGGAGCATAAAAAGCTGTTCTTTTTTTATCACTAGCTCAATTCTATTTATGTTTGGTCGACAATCAACAGGAGTGAAAAGTCACTAAAATAGCAAAGGCAGTTATAAAAAGAGGGTTTATGTGTTTCATTTGGAGAAAGAAAGTGTAATATTGTGACCAACAATGGTCCTAAAAATAACTTTAATCTGACAAAAGTAATTATAAATATTAATCTGCTCCTTACAAGACAAAGTTGTATAACCTCAAGGCTGTATTAAAAATTATGGGAGGAAATTTGAAGTCTATGCAGTGGTAAAAGTCATCCATCCCTTTAATTGACGATTTTTTGGAGAAACTGGAGCCTTCAGTATCAACCAAGATCAGGAGCTTCTGAATAAATCAAAACTGGTTCAGCAATTCAACACTGCTACACTTACATGTGTGTGCTTCTAAAAACATAAATATGTTGTTAGATTTGATCTAAATTGAACTGCAGGAAATAAACATTTTATATTAGATTTTATTCCTACGGCATTTTGAATGGTGTGTAGGAAAGTTTCAATTTATGTTCCAAATGATTTATTTACAGTAGTGTGTAGTACAAACTGAAATAATTTAAACCACTCAGCTTATTTGTCAATCAAGAAGCACAGCACTTAGCTGGTAAAAAGCTGCTTTAGATTTGCCCATCCATGAGTGAAGCATATAGTGTAGAGTAGAGTCTCCACTAGAGAGCAGCATGAAGCCAGACATGTTTGGAGTCTTTTTCTGCTAATAGAACACAGACTCTAACCTTAGAGCAGAAAGCCTTCGTGTTACAAATATCCCAAATCCTGCTGCCTTGAAACAATTTTAAACAAGATGGCAGACATCAAACAACTAGAATATAAAATTGCTTTTGCATGTGTGTTTTTCTGTGTGTAATTATGTGTAATTACTGATGCACAAAAACAGGAAGATGATCTTTTTGCCTTCAAGCAGCTGTTGAGTGAGTTAATGTCAAGTGGAGATTAAAATTTTTGGGTCTGCCTGTAGATTTATATGTGCATTGTGGTTTCACTGCCTGTGATAATGAAACACGCTGGTTGACAAGATTGTAAAAGTCTTGTTTAAAAAAAAAATGCAAATAAACAAACAGGAAGAAGCGTCAGGATGTCACATGGTTATTAAAAGATGATCAGTAATAAATCCCATGGCTTTCTTTTTACTCTAAAACGTGTTTTATTAGATAAATAAGGGTTATAAAAGACTAAAATGATGATTTATTTGTTTGTTATAAGCTCTGCTTGTAAAATTCCTTACATTATACTTACATTTCTTTTAGATTCAAATTCTTTTGAGTAAAAAATGCTGTTTCCATATAATGAAATGGAAACCAACCATTCTTGAGCTTCAGTGGCACAAGAGGACTGCCATTAGCTGGAGTACAAAAGCAATCAGGAGCAATTGCGACCTTAGCAAATCGTTTTTAACAATCTTACACTAAAAACCTCAAGTACATGAGCTGGTTAGAGTCTTAACAAAAGCACCAAGGTTAAATGGTGTGCTACAACATGAAAAGAAAAAAGTGTTTTCTGCTTAGTTAATGAGTTGTCATCACCGCCACCTGAGTCAGAGGGTAGGTCCTCTCCTGGTATTGAGTGTAAAGAGTCAGCTGATGGACTTCTGCACTATTTCAATGTTGGTTTCTACTTATATATCCATCAACTTTCTTACTTATCTGAGATCCTGTAACAGAAAACAGGTCACGGGAAAACCAGGGCATTATTCTTGTCATTCAGAACCACCTTGACTGACTCCCTTTGGGAAAGGAGAGAATTTATGCCTTTATGATAAAAAATAAATGGCTTGTACTTTTATAGCGCTCAGGGCTCCAAAGTGCCTCACAATACAACCAGTCTTTCATATGCTGATGGTGATAAGCTCCACTTAAGTCACAGCAGCCTTCGGTCAGACTGACAGAAAAATGGTTTCCATACAATATGTTCCACTGGATTTTCTAACAATCATCAACAGGCCAGATAGGTGTAGGGCCTTAAGTGTCTTAACCAAGGACAATGAGGTGTAGGGACGGGGGGTCGGCGGTGGTGGAGTCCCTAGTCAAAGCACGTGCTAGAGTGACATTTCTGGAGCCAAAATGTTTGCTAAAGTTCCCTAACCAAAACATGTTCTACAGTTCACTATATAAACAAAACACATGCTAAAGTGCTCACTTTAGGAGCCCACTTTTGGGGACAAAACGGATGCTAAGGCGCCCTCCTGTGAGCCAATATGCTGCTAAAGTGCCCCCAACGGCGGTGAAGACCTACTATGGCCTTACAGTGTCACTGTGTGGATTCTTTTTCCCTCTGCAGTTAGCCTATTACTTAGGCTCAAGAATAGCCCGTGCTTCAAACTAGCAATTTTGTAACTTTTCCAGGTTGTAAAGGGCCTGCTCTCCAACCATTTTTTCCGCAACTCCCCCAGAGAGCAACAGGTAATCTATTGAGGTCCAACCTAACATGTCTTGTAACCAAGGCACCAAGATTCCTGCTTTTGTCCAGAGACTGACCCCCAATTCGGATCACAGAATCATTCCTAGCTGCAGAGGATTCCTTTACTGACCATTTAGCTCTCGAAATTATATACACATAGTGTATACAAAAGTAGTATAAAAGTCGTCTAAGTTTCTTGGCAACAAATAACTTAGGATATGGATATTACATTCAATTCTTTGAGGGCTGATAACGTCTAGAAATCTCTCTGGTCCAAACACACCAGAATGAAAGGGTTTGATTACCTCTTTAGTTGAAATCCAGTTCTCCTGGGTTCTGCTAAGGACCTAATTTGTTTACACTTAGACAACATTTATTGTAATTTAGTATACACTTGTTTTGTATACACCGAGTGTAGTAAACACAGAGTGTATACAAAACAAAATTACATTTTTTTTGCAGTATGTTAAAGCAGAGATGCATCTGAAAGGTGCAGGACCTCGGCCCTCAAGAAATGGATTCTGACGTCCCTTTTCTAGGACATGTTGCAGGACATGTAGTGTAAATGCTAATCCAATCACATAAATAACTAAACGCATAGCTGAGACCTTAAGGTACCCAAAGACGACAATGTCCTCTCTAAGAGTATGCCTTAACAATTCTGTCTGCATGTCAGAAAAAGGTACAAGGGGCAGCCTTAACCGAACCAGTCTTGAAACAAGTAATTTTTTTTTCCCAATATACAGAATTTTTTCTTTCTTTAAACAAGAACTGGTGTTGCCATTTCAAGAACTATCATCGACCCATATTCTCACAGCCCCACTCAATGAAATGGGACTAAGGATACAGTTTAAGCCTTCGGAAACACCAAAAGACATTTGGACAACACACCAAACTCCTGTAATTCATTCAGGAACTCCCTGAGGGTAATCGCACATTCCACTTTTGACAGGCAGGATGAAATCTTTTAACGATAATAAATTGTTTTGTTTAATGACCTGGCATACACTTTCTGCTTTAATTGTGTGTATTAAACCTTTATCTCAAACCTTTTTCTTCTATATAAGCTGCACTAATATTCAGTCATCATCCACTCACGCTGACCAGACCGAAGCTGACATTGTCAAAGCCCATCTCAGTCTCTCTCCCGGGCTCTTTTTCCTTTTGTCCTCTCCTTCCCACCTGCCTTAAAGCTCCGTCAAAAGGGTTTCTCTTGAATTGAACAACGACCATTGAGAAAGCCAACTCCCGAAGATTTCCCTCTTAATATTTTTTCTTCTGCCTCATTAGATGTCTCCCTGACTATTGTGTGGCTCATGGCGAGTGCACGGCGGAGAAAATGGGCTCAGCCCCAGCCAGTGATACAATATGAATTTTAATGTGAGATGACGACTTATTCACTTTAGCCTTTGTCAGGGCATGCAGCGTGAAAGACCTGAACGCTGCTGCTCCTTTTCATGTACATTAAGAACCATTTCTATTCCCTTTCATATGTTCATTTTCTAGAATTTTAAATGTTCTTCCTCTCAAAGGCTGAGGCTGAGTTGAGCTTCAGCGAGAGAGGAAGTTTTGGAATGTTCATAGATACAGCTTAGTGCTATTCATGTCAGGTGTCAGTGGAAGTTTTTGCATCAAAGGTGCCTTAGGCAAGTCTGTTCTTCTGAGCCAAACAAATATTTTCTGTTTTGATAGATAGATAGATAGATAGATAGATAGATAGATAGATAGATAGATAGA